CTGACTGCTCACCAGCTTGTCAATGAAGTCATCCACAGCCTGTCCAGCCTTGACCAGCAGGATGATCCTCCTGGGCTTCTTGAGCTTGGTCACCATGTCTTCCAGAGATTCTGCTCCAATCACCTTGGAGCCCTTAGCCTCGTTCTGCAGGAAGTCATGCACCTTGGACACGGTACGGTTGTAAGCGCAGACCTGTTGGAAAGATATTGAATGAGTGAAAGAAAAGTGGAACAGGTTATGCAGGGAGTAGCAGCAACACACACAGGAGGCAACAACTTACCACAAAGCCGTGGTCATTCATGTTCATGATGAGGTTCTGGCCCATGACGGCCAAACCAATTAGTGCAATGTCTGCTCTGAGGAAATAAGAATCACATCACAGGTGAGAAGATCGGATAGTCTGGCTTCAGGGTAATTATCAAAACAGCCTTCTGTCTACTATCCCTCTAGTCATCCAGTGTATTTTTATTTCAAGTAAATTAAAACATGGGCTTCAGAGTACTCACTCCGAAGATCCCTTTAATTTCCCAGAGTCCATAGCGACCATCACCCAATTCAGTGCTGAATATTTCTACCAAACTCTAAAGCTGACCTCGGTCAGATAACAGCACCGTTAGCATTAACTACTAAAGAAGATTACTCTCAGCAAAGGAGAAAAACAAAATAACCTCAACTAGTAGGTATAACCTTTCTATTGCCCCGACTTTGTACAAAAAAAAGACACAACAGAAGAAGAAACAAAGAAACAAGTGAAGGACTTACTCAGCCATTGTGTTCTGTGGGCAAAGTAACTGTAAGGTAACTGTGTTAAAATGACAGTCGAGCTCGCACACCAGTCCTTTCCTTCAGATTTCCTCCTTACTCGTTTTCCACTTCCTCGTTCTCATCTAAACTTGACTGAGACTCTTAGGTACGCCCACGTAGAGCAAGAACCAATCGAAGAGCGTTCTGCAAACAAGCCACGTCCAAGACTAAATTTGATTGGTCTAGAATTCTGAGCAGAGCTATCGCTTTTCCTGTTGGCTTCCCCGGAAGTCACTCACGAAACTTCAGTGCACGCCATACGTCTGCTTGATGAGGGACCTGTTTCAGAAATGGATTTTCCTCTTTAAGTATCGAGACAGTCAAAGTTGTCTTGACTAGTAAGTTTAAGAACAACATTTTAACTTGATGATTTTTCCTTGTCAGTCTCCCAGTTGGACACCTCGTTTCTATTGGCAGCGGTCAAATCCGCCAGACCTGAGAGCTGCGCTTGCGCCACAATAGACTATATGGCTATATATCTATAAGTCAATGAAATCAGTTTTCTTTTTCTCTGGTGAAAATCTGAACAAGTACATTGTGTATTTCATCTTTTAATCACAAATGCAGAAGATTAAGCCCATTTTTAGCTGTTTAGTAAGAAAGTAAGTAAAATTTATTTATATAGGGTTAGTAGTAAGTGCTTAATGGAAATATAAAACAATGTAACAGTAAACAAAACAGCAATGTAAAACAATAAAACAACATAAGAGGAAATTAATTAAATGCTTTTCTAAATAAAAATGTCTTTAGCTGTTTTTTAAAAGAATCATTAGCAAATGTCTTTCTTATCACAACATCTAAATTTTATGATTTCAGTATAATGATTACACGCCCAGCAAGTTTTCTAGAAGAAGAATTGCCTATATATTTTTAGTAGATTATGCAACAGCACAATCTAATAATTTCAGTCAATTTTCCTGTTGCTAACTAGCTCAATGCATTACAGACAGTGTAACGGTCCGCAGTGGCAGACCGTGTGGAGAGTGTGTGGAGGACTCAGGTGCAGACACAGGCGAGGACACGAAACTGAGTTCGAACGAAAAGCGAGCCTTTATTGCGGCTGAATGACAAGGAGTTCAAACAAGGCAGAAGCGCAGTGACAAAACTAAACTATAACTAAACTGGGAAACTGATACTATGATAAACTATGAAGACACAGAAAACCATGACTACGACTACAAAGACTGGCTGTGAAAACATGGAGGGTGGGAACACAGATGACGCAACACAGACTGCCTGAAACACAGAGACTAAATACACATAAGGGATGATCAGGGGAAGTGGCCACACATGGGAGCACAGCTCACACACATGAACCTAAAGACAGGACAGGAGAAGTGAAACTACATATACTGACATTAAATGCAGACTTTCAAAGTAAAACAGGAAACATGGAGACCAGACATGACCTGAACTAAACATAACCACGCAGACATGACGCGTGAACCAGGGAGACTTAGTACAGGGGGAGATGACATAAACAGCTAAGGAACAAAGGACTAAACAGAAATCTCAAAATAAATTAGATGAGCTAAACTAGGGCACAAATGAATACAAAAGATACATGAAACTCAAACACTGGGTCACTCGACCCAAGACCATGACAGACAGAGGATATGGATGGAGTAGACATTGATTCTTTTCATGTTAAGTTATATTTCACACATTCTGACACAGGAAAGATGTTCTTGGCTGAATTTGTTTGAAATGTTTGTCTTTTCTTCTGTATAATGGAAATAAATGGCATCTGAAAAACTGAGGACCAGTGTGCGGAGTGTGTCGGTGGGTGTTTCTGTGCTGTGAACGAAGTTTGTTTAAAACAAAAAGAAAAACCCAAGAAAACAAATGATCTGGAAGAAAAAGAGAGAGACAGAAAGTGATTGCTGAGCTTCAGTTAAGCAATTACGCACAGTGACAAATATTGCTCTAAATAGGCCACTCCCCTAATCTAAATAATCACAATAACATGTAAGTGGATATGGAGGACTAAGGGCCATCACACATATTTATTCAAAATAAAAGATGTTTGCGTTTCTGTTTTGGGAATGTCAAAATAAATATGCACAACAGCAAGTACACATTAAAAATAATCAAAAAGACAAAGTAACACATGTCGTATGCTTGACTTTGACTTCAGTTTGTGTGTGTAGGAGGGAAATACAATCAGAGTTTTTATGTTACTGTCGAGCTAGCTCACTGTTTGAACAAGTGGTCATATGGCACAATCCAGCAGCCTGAGTTTAAGTCTGACCCTGGCCCTTGGCTACATGTCCCCTGCTGCACTATCCAATAAAGGCAAAAGTACCCACCCTCACAAAAAGTTACAGACGGAAACTCACCCATGTTATGTAAGCTTTTATAAAGTGTCTTGATGCGATCTCAGTCATCCAGGTAAGAAAATCAGAGGGCTTATATAAAGTGCATATTGAGGGATGGTCATTCAAGATACTTAGCTGCCTGTCAATTGAATAAAAAACTAGAACTGTGTGAATTTATACATAAACATGTTCACTGAAGTGTATGTTAATATGTGGCTTCATAATTGCTAGCTGTCTTTTCGTCCTGCTTATACATATTGGTCAAATGTTTAGGATGAGATGGGGATAAAGGTTTTAAACATTTTAATTAAGACACTCCTGCAAACTAAAACATATGAAGGTCTAAATATTTATCCCAGGGGTCCACAAATCAGCAGTTTGGGAATAAAAAGTACATAAACGACTTTAATCCTCCTCTGCTGCAGTGCAGAGGAACAACACTGATGGGAGCGATGAGGGTTTGTAGTTAAATTCCTGCTGTTACAGGACCAGAGAGTGGTCCTGTCTGGTAAACATCACTAGGATTTTGGAATTCGGGTTGCTATGACATTACTGCATAACAGCACCATAGCTGCAGGAGAGCAGGTCTGATCACAACTCTGAGGACACCTTTGAAGAGGTAAGACCAATCTACTGTTTTTGCTGATCTTTTTCCTTTCAGATTTCCTGTATAATGTTAGGAAATGGCTAAAATTATTTCCTCAGCATTGTTTTTCCAAGTAAACCACTTTTTTATTTAGCTACATTGGAAAAACAGTTATGATGCTATGTCACTCTTTTTGCTGTAATCAGACTCTTTAAATGTATTTTCCTTTAGTTCTGAATAATTTTCATTTGTCATTTTTTTTAGTTTCATGATGTGTCAATAATACACTGAAAGAGTTAAGACTACTTTGTGGTACTAAAATGCCAGTATTTTGACTAAACTAGTTGATGCTGCCAAACAGATTTGCATTTTTCAAAATGCATTTTTCAAAATGCATTTTCTGAATGTAATTTGAAACATTTAGAAAGTTATAATATGTGATACATTACTGTGTTTTATAATAGTTTTGGTAACTAACTTTGATTTGACTCTGTGATTTAATCTTGGATAAAACTAATACTGTGTTATGTTGTCACACCAAATATACCTTCTCCTCAAATCAAGTAAATTTAAAGGGCTAGAATAAGTCTGAAAATATTAACAGTAGTTACAGCTTGAAGACGTTTCCTGATTTA